TTTAGTTCTAATTAGTTTTGTCACTAGGGACCTATATCTTAAGACCCCAAATATAAATTACATATATTAAAACCTAACGGACCACTTTAATTCACAATGTTTTTCTAAAATAAAAAAATAAAACTACAATTAATTAGTTCATCAATCTTATACTCATATAATATTAATTTTTTAATAACCCACTAACTACAATTAATTAGTTCTTCCGGCCAACAGCGAAACTCAGCCCGAGTCACACCACAAATCCATGCCTTTCACTGCGCCGATTAGATTTTGAGATGTTTCTCGAAACCCACACGAAAAATAGATTTCTTATTCCATTACTTCAAGCCTTGCTCATAATTACCTAATTTGTAAGTTTTAATCCTTGAATCGTCAAATCCTTTTCTATTTTGCATAACAAACAACATTTTTTCTCTGAAAATTGGGTTTTGGAGCAGTTCCCGGTTTCCCGGTTCGATCGAGTTGTTTTCCGGGTTTTCGCCTTTCACCTGGTTTTTTGGCTCTTTTGGGTTTCTGCACTAAACCAGACCGGATCTGGCTCGGGTTCCGGCTAAACCAGTTCGATTTTCAAAACATTGATAAAATAATCTCTACACATAAATATTAAATATTTTATTTTACTTCCCAAAAATTAATTAGCTTTCATTTTCGTCATATTTTTATTGGAATTAAAACCGAAAAAAATAAAAAACAAATATTCCATTTAAACAGTCAAAAAATTTCATTAAAGAAACAGTATTTTTTCTTCTTTTCTTTCTTCTACAGAAGACTCTAAACTCTTTTCATATTCTACTACCAAGTCTGACAAACTTGAAGGAGATTACGTTTATAAAAATACTAATTACGATCCTTGATTGTCATTAACTGAAAAATTGAATTTTTACATCATTACTTTATGATGGACAATGAACAGGGAAGAATTAATACCTCCATTGAGAATCTTTTTAATGATATACTCTTCTATTTATTCAGTTTCAGTTTCAGTTTCAGTTTCACGACCTTAATCAAATTATAATTATGAAACCATAGAGGTATGAGTTTTATTCGCAGCTATTAATTATCACATTCATTCTTTTGGGTAAAGGATCGTCATATACACACATTAATATCAACATAATTATGCCAGAATTTTGATGCGATCTCTTGTGTATCATAAGATTTCTTTACTGAACGTAAGAAAACTCTTGTTTATTATTTCTCTTTATTATAAAACCCTAGCACAATACGACTATTTAAAGAGAATAAAACCCTAGAATTCTAACCTAACTAGAAAAGATAATTACCTAGACTAATAAAATACTTAATATATATCCTAACCTAAACACACGGCTATGTATATAATAAACCTAACAAACTATTCTAATTAATTAATAATAAAAATACTAACTATCTAATAATTAAACGATA